AATGCCCCCTGCCACCCCAGGGAGGGGAAGGAATCCTGGACTGTTCCCTTTAGGGATGTAATAGTATAGTGGGTTAACCGATAAGCAAAAGCTGATAAGCATTTCCCTCCCCCACCCACACCAGTAAAGTGCTTAGTTGGCTGGCCAGCAGACTGGCTCAGTCCTGACTCACAATGGGTCCAGGACCTACCCCTGCTGCAGCTCTGCATTTACAGTATATTAGGAGCTGAGTAGGCAGGAAGCCCAGCTCATTTCTAGCTTTTGCCGGGTCCGGGAGCTCAGACCCCTCCTGTACAGGGCCTGCTGCCACCCCTGTATCAGAGACAGCAGCACAGGGCGACAGCCCGTCCGTGAGGGGAGCTAGTTTTTAAACTGGCTTCCCTCGAGGACCAGCTCCCACCTGGCACCCCGCACTGCTGCCTCTGATACAGAGACAGCAGTGCAGGGTGGCAGGGGCTCCTTGGGAGTGGGGCTGGAGCACACTGGCTGCCGGCCCCAACCCTGAGGGCTATAGAATAGTCAGGTAACTGATAAGAATTCATGAAGTTAATCAACTATTCAAGTTGCTAAGAATTCATGAAGTTACTCGACTATTCAATTAACCGATATTTAACATCGCTGTTCCCTTGCACTAATTCTAAATGCAGGGAGTACACATGTTGCTGCTGCCACCTCAGTGTGGGGGAGGGGAATGCTGGGGCAGCAAAGGTGAGTTTTGAAATGAGTCTCTTTGGCATGAGGGTGGATCTGGTGTGCCTGGGGCAGCCCCCTCTGGGATTGCTAAGGTCAGGGCAGGCGGCAAAAGGAGGAGCAGATACTCCCAAGTGAAACTCTCCAACTATTCAGACTGTACTGCTGATTCCCCACCCTGGTGTTCAAGAAACAAAACAGGAATTACCCAGCCCCCTTTATCGCAGGCCAGTTTTCTGGCTCCCAATCAGCACGTAGTTCCAGTACAATGAGAAATGATTTTAAAAACTCTGCTTCCATACACAAAATGTTAACCCAAAGGGTTAACCATGTTACCAGTGCACAGTGGCATAGCGAGGGAGGGGGGTGGAGAGGGAGTTGCCCCCGCATGCCATGCTAGGGGGGGCGCCAATTTAGTCCCCCTCCGCTCCCCTTGTCATCCCTTGGCTCACCTGCTCCTCTTCCATGCGCCAGCTGGAGCCTCCTCCCCATGTATCTGCCCCCAGCCCGACTCTCCTTCATCTCCGCTAGCGGGTTAGTACGGGGTGCGGGGGCCTGACCTCCAAGCTGGAGGGGGCGGGGGAAGATGCAGTACAAGCTCCCCCACCCCTCCCAGGGTTGGGCTCAGCCATGCACCAGGTTTGAGGCCCCACCGGGCGGAGGGAATTTTGCCTTTGTCCTCAAGCGCATAACACCCTCACTACACTTCTGCTAGCACAATATAAGTTTGGATCTTCCCCAAAATACAATTGCCAGCCCCTCCTTCATTGCCTAAAAGGATTATATATAAAGAGAAAAAGGATTATTATAAAGATAAAGAACATGAAGAGTTCAGGACTGAACTGAAAACAAAATGGCGGGGATGGTGGATGCAGCTGCCTTTTTTAGTTTTTTGCCATGCAGCTTGTATTTCCATTGCTCCAAACACAAGTTGCCTGGCATATGGCTTGGAAGCCTTAGAGTTCTGTCCAGAGGTAGATCCCCCGCCCCACAATCTTGGTGTATTCCCTGATGTTTTCAATGGGTTCATTGGCATTGATGTCCTTTGATGGACCATCAGACAGCTCAGTCCTGATGCCATTCTGTCCATGGGTGTTACCCAGAGACACAGCACAACCTTGCAAATACAGATATACCCTAAATATCTATAATTTGTAATAGAAAGGTGCTACCAACATATAAGCAAGATTATGGAACTTGGTAAATTTTAACATTTTCACATGGCATATCTCGTCTGTTTCCTTGAAATTGTATAATATCGGTATCAATAAAACCATAAAGTGTCTCCCATATGCCATACAGAATTATAGAAAGGAGAGAGGATCTGGTAAGAATCCATGAATAATGATATAAGTAAGATAACATGTGGGTAGAGAGAGGTAAGAAAGAGGTACAGATATTTTCCATACAGAACATTTGTAATATCCTCAGCTGATAAATCATAGAAATCGCCATGCCTGGGTCGTCGTCTTCTCCTTCCTCAGCTTAGACTTAAAAGACACTGGAGGCTGTTTATAAATGGTTCTCTCTAATCTGATTTCCTTTCTTTGATATAGAATTCCAAGAAAAATGCTTATTCTGTTAGAAAACAAAAAAGCAGCTTCCCCCCCCCCCACAGCTGACAGTCAACTAGCAGTGCCTAAATCTGTAGCACCTTGCAATACCCAAGTCACTAGTACCCAAAACACCAGCTCTTACCATGGCCTTTGTTCCCCTAAATAAAAGGATGGATGTACTTTTCCTGCCATCTCTCCGTGGCTTGCAAGTTTAGTCCTCTGGCTGTTAGATTTCTGGTAAAATTGCTGTGATCTGTGTGTGGGTGAGTATGTGAGCGAGGAGAGTGAGTGAGGGATTGCTGGGATGAGAAAGGAAAGTAATATGTGTAATGGGTTCAGTCACAGAGATCCATTTGGGACTGTCACTTGATGCACTGAAATGTCACTGAGCTAACCTTCCTGCTCTCCTGGGTGCCCCCCTTGCTCTGTCTTGCTAAGCCATGCCCTCCAACCTCATCTAGCACTGGCACAGAGCACACAGCCTACAGCAATATAATACAGATGCTGATATCAGCTCATCTCTGGGTAGGCTCAGTTAAAGGGACTTACCTCAGCACCTAGGTGCGCAGCCCCAATGGGACCTGCACCCCAGATAAATCTATCTTACACTATATAGTTTTATTCAGGTTAAACTCATGGGCTGTATCTACACTGGACCACTTATTCAGGAAAATCAGCCGCTTTTCCGGAATGAGCTGTCTACACTAGCCCTTGAATTTCTGGAAAAGCAACGACGGTCTACTGTACAAAATCAGCCGCTATTCCGGAAAAACTATTCTGCTCCCGCTCGGGCATAAGTCTTTATTCTGGAACACTGTTCCGGAAAAGGGCCAGTGTAGACAGCCCAGTAGTCTTTTCCGGAAAAAAGCCCCGATCGTAAAAATGGCGATCGGGGCTCTTTTCCGGGAAAGCGCGTCTACATTGGCCACAGACGCTTTTCCGGAAAAAGGGCTTTTCCGGAAAAGCAGCCTGCCAATGTAGATGCTCCTTTTCCAGAAAAACTGAAAACGGAATAGTATTCCGTTTTAAACAGTTCCAGAAACTCATGCCAGTGTAGACACAGCCATGTTGTTTGCTATCTTTCTCACGTAAAAAAGATATACGCATCTGCTCCCTCCTCTCCCCCCAAAAAACTGTTTTACACTGGGTTAAATAGTGAACAAAAATGATTTTTTGAAGATTGAAGTGGTTATAAGTTATAGCACACAGAACAAAGTAAGTTACTAAGTAAAATAAAACTCAAGCTTAATACATTAAAAACAAGGAGTCCGGTAGCATTTTAAAGACGAACAGTTTTTTTTAAGGCATAAGCTTTCATGAGATACAATTCACTTCTTCAGATCCAAGGAAAGCAAAGGGGAGGGAAGGGGAGGGGACATCAGCACTAGTTAATTCAGAGTGGATGGGCTCACCTCCAACAGCAATGAGAACATGAGAGTAACTGAAGGGAAATTACGTATTGTAATGAGTGAGCCATTCCATGTTTCTACTTAAATCTTATTTTGACAGTGTCAAATTTACATACGAATTCCATTTCAGCAGTTTCTCGTGTCACTCTGTTTTTGAAGGGTTTGGGGGTTTTTTTGGTTTTGGGGAGGGTTTTTTGCCTGAGAATGGCAACTTGCGAGTCAGTAACTATTTGTCCAGAGTTGTTAAAATGTTCTTCTACTGGTTTTGCACGTTGCCATTCTTGATGTCTGATTTGCATCCATTTATTCTTTTGCATAGCGACAGTCCAGTTTGTCCAATGTACGTGACGGGGGGCATTGCTGGCACATGTCATATATTACATTATATTATAGAGTACCAAAATCTAATCAGTCTTGTTTGTTATGCGTTTCAGTGTATTTTAGAGTCTCAATGACTCAGGGACTTTAGATTTGCTAATAGGAGTTTGAGTATTTAGCACCTTTAAGTCACTCATTCAAATTCAGGTCTGGCCGCTAGTGCAAGTCCTTGAATTGAGGTTACTCTCTGAAGTCATTTGGGTGACCTGTGTGAAATAAATTGATGGCACCAGGAATTCACCCTCAAATCCCTCATTAAATTAGCACAGTGCTCCAGTGACAGAAAAGAGTGCCAAGGAATTAATTGGCCATTAAGGCTAACTCATTCAGGTAGTAACTACACAAATTGACCCACTATGTTGGGACAGTGTGGGGAAAACTCTTGCAGCTATTAAGCAGTGTGTCTTCCATGACAACTTCAAAGCAGCATCATATACATTAAAAAGAAACAAGAGGGAGACAGGCAGAAACCTATCCATGAATTATAATAAGATGGTGTATTGCTTCCTTATTGCCCTTTTTCTTTTTCCTTAGGCAGGTGACAAGCATTACCATCCGAGCTGTGCACGATGCAGCAGATGCAACCAAATGTTCACAGAAGGAGAAGAAATGTACCTGCAAGGTAAGTATGTCTTCCTACCCCAACCATGCCAGAAACAGGCTGAGGGTCAGAGAGTCACCCAGGAAACATCATATCATCATCAATCCTCTACCAGCCTGTCTGATGTCTGGCAGCCAAGGATCTGACTCATTTGCTGGGCAGACTTCCTTTTTTTCCCCTCTCAAGGTCATGGCAGTTCAGAAGCCATCCTCTGAAAACTTAGGTACCTGCAATTCCAGCTGTCTTGTTATCATTGCTGTTTTCTGATAATTACCCTGCAGTGACTCCAAATTGTGGTTGCCCCAAATTGTGCTTTTAAACATGTAGCAAAAGGTAGATTTTAGTCATCAGCCTCTGACAGTGATGTCTTACACAATCCTTCTTTGGTGTACAAATTACTGCATGTGGGACACCAGAATGAGTGAGCAGCCATATTGGTTGTTTTCCTCCTAATTGTTTTGCTCTCATGTTCTTCTCTTTTGAACCTGAACAATTTTAATGGGCCTTTGCTTAAAGTGTGAGTGTGAGAGACAAATACTTCTGTAACTTCTATCTCTGAACCTCTGTCTGTTTCTTCACGCTTGCTTGTCTGAATTCCCCTTCTATCTTGTCATGTTGCTCTTTTATCCCCTTCTACTTACTTCCATGCTCAAGTGTTCTAAAATCTCTTTTCAAATCCACTTCTTTCTTTTTTTCTGTCCATTTTCATCTCCTTAGTTTTTTATCTTCCGTCTAACTCTTTCTATTCCCTTAAGTACTGCCAATCACACTTTGTTCATATTTCCCCCACATCCAAAAGAGAATATTCTTCTTTTTGGTTGAAATGCCCACTTGATCCAAATTTGGATCTGATTTTTTTTTTCAAAGGAAATGCTGCTTCAACTCTGAGGCTAGTCATTTGTTCCACTTTGCTTAGTTTAACTGAATATAGGTAGGAAGATGTCTAGTATACATCCTTACCAGCAAGAAGTTAAAGTTGATGAGTGCCTGAAAGATTGGGAATGAGCCTGAGAAGCCTCTTTCTGAGTGTGCACATGTCAAGAGAACTTTAAATACATGGCCCTAAGTGACTAGGGAAGAGATAAATAGGATGTGGAGTCAGGCAGTCTAAATGAGAGTGAACTGAATTGTAAGAATTCAAGGAAGGTTCCTACTGGAGCAATCCATCAAGAAGAAAAGATAGTTGAAAGGAAGAATTACTGGGCTGATGGATTTCTGTATTCTGTTCGCTATTATTGAAGACACATGTTATAATTCCTTCTTCCCAGCCCAGCTCCTCCTGCTTGCTTGACCCTGCAGCCTTGTAAATGATATGCACATTAGGGTGCATCTACACAGCAGGACTTAACTTGAAATAAGCTACGCAAACTGAGCTATATCAGTTGCGTAGCTTATTTTGAAATTGGGATTGTCTACACAGCTTTTATTTCGAAGTGTAGCACTCTTCCTCTGACTTTTCCTACTCCTTGTATAATGAGGGTTACAGGAGTCGGAGTAAAAAGTCTTCTGCACGGAGCAGGAACATCCTGGCTGCAAGCAGATTTCATCAGGGAAATCATATTTCAGTCTGTGATGTGTTTCATGGCCATGAATTCAGTAGGGCCATAGTGATGAATTATAAAACAAAGGGGGATACCAGGTCTAATTAGGGTCTGAAAAATATGAATCAGTGAAAAGAAAATGGAATTGTTCAACCAAAAATCAGTGGTGATGTCTGACATGCTGTCTGCAGTGGTTCACAACCGGGAGTGCCAGGGCAGACTGTCAAAAAGCAGGTAGACACCCCAAACTGGCTCTGTTCTGTAATTAGATTTCAGCAGCCATGTACCAAATGTGAGCCCCTGGTGCACTGTGACCCTCTTACAATAGAGCCACCAGCAGTCCATTCAAGTCAGTCTTGCCAGGTAAACTAGACTCGTTGATAGTTGGTTGCCATGCTCAAAGATCAGAAAAGATTCAAGCTGCTTCCAGTTTCAAAAGACCCCAGGTTAGTTTATTCCTGCAGTTGACCTCTAAAGACAATGCTTAATATAGCCACTCTTACAGTAACCAAGAAAAGAAATGAGTTATTTACAGGTGAAAACAAGCAGACATTTATGCACAAGTGAGTTAGTCTGTGACTCTAAAAGGTAAGAGCTGTAGTAATCTGTCAGCACTGAATGTCTTTAAGGGCTAACACGGTTGATCCCGGGGATCTCTTCTTCTGTTTCTTAGCACCAGCCCTGTAAGAGTTCAGATAACAAAGAGAGAGAATTCTGCCTGTGTTGTCCCTTTTTTCCAACATGAAATGGACAGGCTTTCCTGCCCACAGCCGCTTCAGCAGGCCATTTAACCACATCCCTGTAACCTGATTAGGCATGTAAAAAGTCGCTGAAAATCTTAGCGGCTACACATGTGAACTTTATACTGCAGAGCCTGCAGTGAAGCTTTATTCCTGCTCCACACTCCCAGAAAGAGGCTTCCCTGCCATAGAGAAGCCACCTCCCTGGAAGCCAGGGTGTAACCTGAGCCTGCCATAGACAGGGGGTGCTTCATCTGGCCAGCCGGAACAGCCCCTGCCTGCGGTGGGCCCTGCGAGGCTGGAGCAGGCAGGGAGCTGCTCCAGCCCCCACAGTAAACCGGAAGTGGTAAGTATTACCTGTTTAGGGTGATGCTTGACTGTTAACTGGTTAACCTTTCACACCCAATCCTGATGTTGCACAATGGCCCATTTAGCTTATGTAGCTTGATGGGGGATCGACCATTCCAGCATTTTTACACTTATAAACCAAAACTCATATATCCCCTTATAGCTTGGGATACAGGCATTACAAGTGAAATTAATTCTCACAGCAATTTACAAGTATTCCATAGGCTCCACACTAATCGCGTTCTGCTAAGTCTAGTCTCTATTTGGAACAATACTAACAGGCATGTGAGCTAGTCTGCTTTCCAGCTATGAATTTCAGTGCTCAGCTGATGCTTAGAGCCTTGGCAAGATGTGACACGTTGGTCTGCCAGCATCACAATGTTAATGGTAGGAAGTGCTGAACTGGTGTAAATTGCACCAATCTGGCAGTCACTGAATGGGGATGCATACACTGAGTGGGGATTGTTGGGTGACCCATTGCAGCCCTTGATATAAATCCATGTAACTCCTATTGTAGAACCATAGCATACATGCCAACTTCCCCTCTAGCTGGGAATACTCAAACTTCCCTCGCCCCGACTTCCATCCTGCCTCTTTGTGCCCCTGTTCTGCCCCACTTCTTCTCTCAAGTCCCCACCTCCTCCCCTGAGTTCGCTGCATTCCTACTCCTCCTCCTCGCTCCCAGAGCATCCTGAATGCTGTGAAACAGCACTACTGAACACCGTAATGCCAACGAAACTATACCCACACACATCTTGGTGATAAATGTAGCCTAGGAGGATTGGGGGATAATGGAGGAGAGGCAGCTGGCTCCTTTGTCTCTTCATTTCTTTGCTGCTACGTCCTTTCCTTCACCTCCCTGCCCCTTGGATGCAAGTTAAACCCTTTTTTCCCCACCTAGTGGCAAAATAATGCAAGTTAGTTACACTACTTTGCTCCTTACTTACCAACTTACTGCACTGGCTGTATCACCCTGTTCTTCAGGGAGAATTTTGCCTGCTTGCTGTAGGCTGTACTTAACTTGTTAGTTCTATGTACAGTGTACCTGAAAGTCCTTCCCATGGTGAAAGTCCTTCTTAGCTCCAGCTCATAGGACTATGGTGACACCATCAATGTAGATTCCCCCAAAAGAGCCATTCCCCCCGGCACCAGAGGGAGTGGTGGTAGCTTCCCACACCTTTTGCAGGGTTGAGGGGAAGTATAAACTATAGCCAAGGGTGTATCATTAAAATGAGTGAAAGCAGGAAGCTCCCTTCTTTCATAATTATCATCTCTACTGGGCATTGCCTATGTCTGCATCTCATTCCTCCACTGCTCTTTGCATAAGAACACAAATACGATCCTGGCCTCATTGTTGTCAGTGTGAATTTTGGGGCCAGAATTGTATCCAGTGTATTTACTTGAATGTTACAGCTAATGAAAACACAGGAAACCTGCAAAAAGAACAGTGTGTGTTAAAACAAACTATTCCACCTGTGGTTTCTAGACTCAGATTACCTTTCTATAACAATGGCCTATGGGTTTGCCTAGGGGGATATCTAGGAATAGCACCAAATACTTTCTTTCTCCCATGTGTTTTCTTATCTGATAAACTATGTGTCTCACCCGATGGGTGCCAAGATGAGGTGTTGCTTAGAGTTTAGAGCAGCCTATTGTAGTTTTCACTCAGCCTTTCACATTTTCCAGTCATTTTCTGTTAACCTGAATTTGTACATTTGAGAGCTTGCTCTGTGCTGTGGTGCTGAGGCATGCAGAATAAAAGGTTGGACAGTTGAACGTTTTGTTTGGGGTCTGCCAAGGAGCAAACAAACACATGCCAATGCAGGGATTAGCAGCAGTGTCCTGCAGAGTTTCCAATAGAAAGGTAACTAAACTGAACTGGGATTAGAGCTAGAGGATTTACATAGCTCTGAACTGTTTCAAAATAAATAAGCACATTTGGGTGGATAAAACCTAGAAGCCAGTACAGGACTGTGCAAAATATTCACATCTAACCTCATACTTACTTCATCTGAGTTTGGATTTGCAGTTGGCTGTGTTTTTAAACCTCTCCAATTTGTGAACCAAAGCTGAGGTTAAAAAAAAATCTCAGAAGGGTAGCCGTGTTAGTCTGCAACTTGGGGGAGGGGCAGGAACCAGTAGTCCTGTAGCACCTTCGAGACTAACAAAAATACGTATATAGTCTCATGAGCTTTGTGGGCAAAACCTAAAGTGGATGTTGTCCATGAAAGCTCACGATACTATGTATGTATTTTTGTTAGTCTCCAACGTGCTACAGGACTACTTTTTTTTTCTTCTTCCAAAATTGAAGCTGTTAGCCCAGCTCCTCCTTGAAAATCACATCTCAACTCTGCTTCACCCCAAAAGTTGGGGAATGGCTTCCCCACCCGATTCTGCCCATGGGATGTTCACATCTAGAAGCCCCTATTGATATCAAGGCCCCATTGTGCTACACGCTGGATATATACATGGTCAGATCTAGCCCCTGCCCCAGACAGTTTGCGATGTAACTATTTAAGACAGACACAGGGTGGGAGAAAGAGCTAGTAATATTGCCTGTTTTACAGAAAGGCAACAAAGTCCAAGAGAGAGGATGTGAATTTCCCCAGGGTCCCACAAGGAGCCTGTGGCCGAGCTGGGAATGAAACCTGGGCTTTCTTGAGCCCATTTTGACCACAAGAACATCCTGCCTCTCAGTGAACCTTCAAGGGCTTGTTTCCTCGTGACCTTCGCAGCCCTGGCCCAGAGGCTGGTGTTTTGGTACATGACATCCTTTGTTACACTTCCCCCGATCGCTGACTGCTTCCCCTGCTGAATCAGCACTTTCTTCTTCTTCCTTGGCTCAGACTCAAAGCTAGGCATCTGATGCTGTGATTCAGTCCGCGTGTTCCTCCAGGCTCCTGTTGATGCTGTTTACGTTGTGTGCTGCTGGCAAATTGGAATCGCTCCTGAGGGTTTGGGCTTCAGCACAAGAAAGGGACCTTTTGAAATGAAGGCTTCCCTCAGAGCTGCCCTGACCCTTACCTTTGAACCTGGCCTTTGTTGGGCATGATTTCCAGGGCCTACACATGAGATAATAGTCAGGCTGAAATGCCAGGGATTTTGGTGGTTTTGTGGGTCATCCCTGCAGGCAAATGTTTGGCTCCCGTGTGGTTGGAATGGTGATTTGGCTTTGACCACACTTGGGTATAATCAGGGTAAAAAAATCCACTCAGATTTAGCCCCTTTTCAGAAGCAGTTTCAATTTGGATAGTAACGAGTAGCAGCATTTCTCTTCTTGGGAGACTAAACTGTTATGCTACAGGCAGAGAACAGGGGAGTGCGAGGTACCACCAGTGCCCAAGGTCCTGCCAATGCAGGGAATTGGTTAGGTGAGAGATGCCCGCATGAACCTAGCACAGGGATGGGCAATAATTTTTGATTGGGGGGGAGGGGAGGTCACTCAAAGAATTTGGAAAGGTCAAAGGTCACACTTTTCCATTTTAATGGAGGAGGTGCAGGGTCTGGGATGGGGTTGGGTGCTGAAGAGTGTTTGCAGTAAGGGATCGGGATGCAGAAGAGGATGTGGGTTCTGGGAGAGAGTTTGTGTGAAGGAGGCAGTTGTGACCTGGGTTAGGGGACTAGAGTGCAGGGGTTTGGGTTGTGACCTGGAGCAAGGGATTGGGGTGCAGGATCTTTGTGGGGATATGGAGATGTGGGGGGCCGAGGATTTGTGTTATGTGGGGTAGGGTACAGGGGATCAGAGGGTTTGGGTTGCAGGGCAGGGGACTGTGGTGCAGGATCTAGGAGTGGATATGGGTGCAGGACTTAGGGTAGCGGGTTTGGTTTATGTGGAGTAGAAAGGCAGAGGGCTGGGGTGCCAGAGGCAGGCTCTGGCCTGGAGACTTACCGGCTTGACTCCCAGCCAGCAGCCTTCTCAAGCAGACTCCCTGTCTGTCCCACACCCACACTAGCTGCAGGGGCCATGTGGTTTTTGAACAGCTACAAGCCTGAGAGGGGAGGGTGCTTCGCAAGCTGCCTGTTGACAACAAGCAGCTCCCATTGGCCAGAAACCTGCCAATGGGACTGTGCTGGGGGCGAGAGCTGCACGCGAACCCTTTCCTACCTCCCCCGGGCTCACAGCTGTTCCAACAGAACCCCTCAACAGCCGCAGTTCTCAGAAGGGTGCAGAGGGGCAGGCAGGGCGTCTGCCTGAGGCTCCCCACTGTATTCGCAGGCTATATCTGGCAGCTTGGTGGGCCAGATTCAGCCCACGGAGGGTATTTTGCCTTGGCGATCCATTCCTCACACTACGGAGGAAGGTGAAATCCCGTCCTCAAATATGGCCCTTCCGTGCATGGGAGGAGCCCAGGTATGGAGGGTTCTTAGCCCTCCTGTGTGCTAGATCCTTGGACAGCAATTTGGGGAGTGGGGCTGGTCAGGTGAGAGGTTGAATTTAACCCTATGCAGCTCTCCTGGCTAATGCCCCTCTTATAACAGCAGGGGAGATGTGACAGATGTGCAACCTCCAGGGAACTGCTCCATGGCCTAGCGGAGAGGTTCCTTGCCCACTGTGGTGTCCCCCTGAACTGGCTACTCGGGCATAGTGCAGCAGTTAGGATTTTAGCACAGAAGATGCTGTGCTGCTGTTTCTTTCCCTTAGTCCTCAATGCATCCTGAATCCTCAGTGGTGGTGAATGGGATTTGGTGATGCTAAGTTTATAATACTCTGCATCTATTGTGCCTTCCATCTAAGACACTTACGAGTCTCAATGAATTTAGCCTCACAGCACCATTTAGGGGAGGAGAGTAATGAAGTATTGTTGTTCTTCTGTGTCCCAAGTGGTTAGCTGATTTTTGGGGTCTTGTGGGTAGTTTTCATTCGGAGCAGAAATTGGCGATGGAGTCAGGTATTTCTTTGATGCAATCCCATTTGTGTATAAACTCCTGCTTCCCTGATTACAGAAGGAATCAAACAATTGGAGATAGTTTCTTTGCTTGCGGTCTAAGCTTCTTTCAGCCAGCGCTTTACCAAAAAGCTCTGTGTTTTCCTCAGGATCATGTCACCAGGACTCCCAAGCTGTGTCTCACTCCTTGTCGTCACTCCGTGGAAGACCTACATTGCCACGATTGATCTTCTGGAGTTCGATTTAGCGAGTCTCATTAAGGCTCGTTAAATTGAATTCTGAGGGCACCATTGCCGGCGTCTGGTACTCCTGCTCTTGCGATGAGTAAGAAAAGCCGATGGGAGCATTTGCTCCTGTCAGCCTCCCTCAATGGGGATGCTGCCATGTTTGGCTTAAGGTAAGATGACTCTGGCTATGTATTCTACGTAGCTGGAGTTGCACACCTTAAGCCAATCTTCCAGATCTAGTGTCAACTTGGTCTGAGGCTTCTTGCTCCTCTCTTTCTGCTGATTCTCTCTCACATAGACACATGCACATTCTCCACCAATCAAGGCTGGTTTCAATCGGGTTTCACCCAACCCCTAAGTGTAATAGTGTTATTACCTCTGTTTTGCTAGTGAGAGAAAAGATGAAAGGGCTTAGTTGGAAGGGATTGTGCATGATCACATGGGAATTCTGTACCACAGCTAGTTATAGGAGCCACTTCTTTCACCTCTGTGCCCCAGCCACTAAACCAGTCTCCTTCCCTGACTCCTGTCAACATGTCTCTTCCAGCTGCAATATCTGATTCAAACCGATCCTAGCCCTGCTGTACAGGCTGTGCATGAGATTTAATTTGCTAATATGTGAAAAGTACTTTGAGACCCTTAGATGCCACTGTAGGTGGGCAAAGTCTTTTTGTTTAAATGTTACTGTATTTCTCACATGTTTCTCTTGTGCTTGGGTGGAAATTTGTAGATTACTGTGTTGCAATGAGGTATCTGCTTTTACTATTTTAATGTTCTGCTTTCTGTGACCTGACATCATCTGATTTGCTCTTGAGTAATGCATTATTTTATTCCAGGTTCCACTGTATGGCATCCCGACTGTAAGCAGTCCACTAAGGCAGAAGATAAGCTACGGGTAAGATAACCAAACAGGAAGGGATATGCTAAGATCAGATATAGTCCAGATAACTTGCAACCTAGTAACTGATCTTTCTCCTTGACAGAGAGTGATTTCCCATGAGTTTGTATTGCCTCCTCATAACGATCATGGCAGCAAGTAGAGTGTTATTACTCCAGAGGCGCCACTGCATTTCCTATGTTCACCATCTCTATGTATTTCTTGCAATATATTACTCCGAGGGAAACATTATCTCCAGGACAGTGTTCACTTTACAGCCTGATTCCTAAGAGGGAAAAATCTCAAGGGACAAATGAGAACAGAACAAATTCATGGATGAATCTTGTTAATTTTGCAAAGTCATGACATCTCTGTACCTTGTTTATCAGCTGTGCTGTGTTCTTTAGAGCAATTTGCAGTGTTACTCAGTGTGGACCGATCTTCCTTCACCATCGAAATGAACCCTTGAAACATAAGCTTGGGGGTAGCTGAGTTAGTCTGTACAGGATAAACTTAAAAAACAACAAAGGTCTGGTAGCACTTTATAGACTAACAAAACATGTAGATGGTATCATGAGCTTTCGTGGGCACAGCTCATGATACCATCTAGATGTTTTGTTAGTCTATAAAGTGCTACCAGATATTTGTTGTTTTTAAGTTTATCCTTTAAACCTAATTTATCCTGGTTTGTATGCTGAGAAGAAATATGCTTAATGCTATATCTGGCCCTAAATATTTAGGACCAAATTTTAAATCAGCCCTGAACCAAGAGAAATTTGTGGGGACAAAGTTTCTGGATTAGATTCTTGATTATTTCAGTTGTGCTAAGCTGATTTACACCAGCTGAGAACCTGGCTGTGTGAGAAGTGCAAACAGGGCTTTGTGGGCATTAATTGCTTAGTTTGCCATGCAGTCAATTACCCCAATTGCACAAGTTGGCTTATGCACAGAAAAGAGGAATGTGCGCGCCTCTGAGTGTGGAGATAATGTCTGGGTTCAAGTATCACAGGTTGCAGATGAAAAATGGGCCAAGAGGCCCTGGGGTGGATGTTCCCTGCACATCATGCCATCTTCGTTGTGTGCTCTGCTTGTAGTAGTTCTCTTAAGCAATGTGATGCTGGCCCACCACACTGTACAACATTTTCCTTAATGCGTTTATTATGAATGTAGCCAACAGGAGGCTGCTATGTTTGAGGGTGTCCGTGTCAACATTACAGCGAATGTCAACTGGGCTAACAATCCAGTGGCAGATTCCAGGCCGTGTTGGGGAAGCAATGCAAAGCATTGTTCTAATGGCTGCCGCCTGGTTCAGCTCTTCCCTGGTTCAGCCCTTCCAAGTTGTTCTGAACAGATACTTGCTCAGAAAAGACTTTCTCTTTCCAGAACTGGGTTATTTTCTGTCGTTTGCTGCTGACCATAACAGCATGAGCACTTCAGGGTAGGTCTGCGCAGTGAGTCTCCTCCGCTCCAGAGCACAGGACCGCAGACTTGTGTGACAGTGCTAAAAATAGCTAGGGAGGGGGGCCTCTGGAGCTGGGAGGGAGGGGTGGATTTCAGAGCTCAAGCTCCACTCTGAGCCTGAATGTCAACATGATCCTTTTTAGCACTGGAGTGCAAGCCATAGTAGAGACCCGCGTCATTGGTTTTTTTGCCGTATAAACGTACCTGTGAGGTATGTCTGCATTGCACACTGAGACCAGGCACCCACGCACGTCTCAGCCCACGCCCCCATTCCGTTCACACACAAATCAGTCTTGAGTCAGCCAAGCACTCAGGACCTCAGGAGCCTTCTAAGGTGTGCATTAGAGCCCCAGACCCCCTGAGACCCTGGTCCAAGCACTGACATTTAGCATTAGCATGGCAGTGAGACCCAGGACCATCAATTATAAGCGAGGATTACAATGCAGTGTGAATACTGAGGCACGGGAATGGAAACAGATGGAGGTAAATTTCTAAGTACACAGAGAACGCTACAGGGCCTGTCTCCCAGGACAGAAGCAGGGATGACAGAGCTGAATGGAACAGACCCAAAATTTGCAATGAAAGAATAAAGTGTAGGTAAGACCTGGCCCCAACCCAGTTTCAATAAGCAGTGCAGATACCCTCTTGTATACTGGCCAGATGACCTATGCATAACACTATACCATTGCCTAGTGGATAGAACATTGGACTGAAACGTATTCCTGTTTGATTCCTGGTTCTGCATTGGTCTACTGAGTGATCTTAGGAAAGTCATATCACTGCTCTGAGTCTGTTTCCCTATCTGTAAAATAGGAATAAAGCTGCTCATCTCCTTTGTGAAGCACTTTGTCCTCTATTGATGAAAACTGCTATATTAGACTCATAGACTTTAAGGTCAGAAGGGACCATTATGATCATCTAGTCTGACCCCCTGCACAGTGCAGGCCACAAAATCTCACCCACCCCTCCTAGAATAATCCTCTCACCTATATCTCAGAGATTGAAGCCTTCAAATACTTTGAAGACCCCAAGATGCAGAGAATCCTCCAGCTGTGATCTGTACCCCATGCTACAGAGGAAGGCGAAAAACCTCCAGGGCCTCTGCCAATCTACCCTGGAGGAAAATTCCTTCCCGACCCCAAATATGGCGATCAGCTAAACCCTGAGCATGTGGGCAAGACTCACCAGCCAGACACCCAGAAAGTTCCCTATAGCAACTCCTATCATCCCTCCATTGACCTATTTCCAACTGATAATGAATGGTCAATTAGTTACCAAGATCATGTTATTTCATCCAACCATCCCCTTATCATAGAATCAGAACTGGAAGAGACCTCAGAAGGTCGTCAAGTCCAGCCCTCCGCTCTAGGCAGGACCAATCCCATCTAAATCAACCCGGCCAGGGCTTTGTCAAGCCGAGACTTAAACACCTCTAGGGATGGAGACTCCACTACTTCCCTAGGTAACCCATTCCAATGCTTCACTACCCTCCTAGTAAAATAGTTTTTCCTAATATCCAATCTGGCCCTCTCCCACCACAACTTGAGACCATTGCTCCTTGTTCTGCCATCTGTCACTACTGAGAACAGCCTCTCTCCATCCTCTTTGGAACCTCCCTTCAGGAAGTTGAAGGCTGCTATCAAGTCCCCCCTCACTCTTCGCTTCTGCAGACTAAACAGACCCAAGTCCCTCAGCCTCTCCTCGTAGGTCATATGCTCCAGACCCCTAATCATTTTGGTTGCCCTCCGCTGGACCCTCTCCAATGCGTCCGCATCCTTTTTGTAGTGGGGGGCCCAGAACTGGACACAGTACTCCAGATGTGGCCTCACCAAAGCCGAATAAAGGGGAATAATGACATCTCTGGATCTGCTGGCAATGCTCCTCTTAATGCATCCTAATATGCCATTAGCCTTCTTGGCTACAAGGGCACACTGTTGACTCATATCTAGCTTCTCATCCACTGTAACCCCCAGGTCCTTTTCTGCAGAACTACTACTTAACTGGTTGGTCCCCAGCCTGTAACTATGCTTGGGATTCTTCCGTCCCAAGTGCAGGACTCTACACTTGTCTTTGTTGAATCTCATGAGATTTCTAGTGGCCCAATCCTCCAATTTGTCTAAGTCACTCTGGACCCTATCTCTGCCCTTAAGCGTATCTACCTCTCCCCCTAGCTTAGTGTCATCTGCAAACTTGCTGAGGGTGCAATCTATCCCCTCATCCAGGTCATTAATAAAGATATTGAACAAAACCGGTCCTAGAACCGAACCTTGGGGCACTCCACTAGAAACCGACCTCCATCCTGACATCGAACCGTTGATCACTACCCGCTGGGCCCGGCCTTCTAGCCATCTTTCTATCCATCTTACCGTCCATTTATCCAATCCGCATTCCCTTAACTTGCTGGCAAGAATATTGTGGGAGACCGTATCAAAAGCCTTGCTAAAGTCAAGGTATATAACATCCACTGACTTTCCCATGTCCACTGAGCCAGTTACCTCATCATAGAAGCTAATCAGATTGGTCAAGCACGACTTGCCCTTTGTGAATCCATGCTGACTATTCCTGATCACTTTCCTCTCATTCAAGTGTCTCAAAATGGACTCCTTTATGATCCCTTCCATGATTTTTCCAGGAACCGAGGTAAGACTGACCGGCCTATAGTTCCCTGGATCGTCCTTCTTCCCTTTTTTGAAGATGGGCACTACATTTGCCTTTTTCCAATCATCCGGGATTTCGCCCGATCTCCACGACTTTTCAAAGATAATGGCCAAAGGCTCCTCAATGACATTTGCCAACTCCTTCAGTACCCTTGGGTGCATTAAGTCTGGACCCATGGATTTGTGTACGTTTAGTTTTTCTAAATAGTTCCTAACCTGTTCTTTACCCACCAAGGGCTGTCCATCTTCTTCCCATCTTGCGTCGCTTAGCACAGAAGTCCAGGAGCCGACCTTGTCCGTGAATACAGAGGCAAAGAAAGCATTGAGTACTTCAGCTTTCCCCACATCCTCTGTCACTAGGTTACCTCCTTCATCCATTAGGGACTGCACACCCTCTCTGATCACCTTCTTCTTGTTGACATGCCTGTAGAAACCTTTCTTGTTATCCTTCACATCCTTAGCCAGTCGCAACTCCATTTGCGCTTTCGCCTTCCTGATAACCCCCCGGCATTCTCGAACTATACATTTAAGCTCCTCCCTAGTCATTTGTCCAAGTTTCCACTTTCTGTAAGCTTCCTTTTTGTGCTTAAGTACACCAAGGATTTCCCCTGTAAGCCAATCCGGTCTCCTACCAGGTTTGCCTCTCTTGCTACGTGTCGGGATGGTTTCTTTCTGTGCCTTCAATAAGGCTTCTTTAAAATACTGCCAGCTGTCCTGGACTCCTTTCCCCTTCATGTTAACATCCCAGGGGATTCTTTCCATCAGATCTCTGAGGGAGTCAAAATCTGCTTTTTTGAAGTCCAAGGTGTGTATTTTACTACTCTCTTTCCTTCCTTTGGTCAGGATCCTGAAATCTACCATCTCATGATCACTGCTTCCCAGGTTGTCACCCACCTCTACGTCCCCTATTAGTTCCTCCCTGTTTGTGAGGAGAAGGTCAAGCTGTGCACGGCCCCTGGTCGGATCCTTCAGCACTTGTACCAAGAAGTTATCCCCAACATTCTCCAAAAACTTCCTGGATTGCCTGTGTACTGCCGTATTGGTTTCCCAACAGATGTCAGGGTGATTAAAGTCCCCCATGAGAACCAGGGCCTGCGATCTGGAAGCTTCGCTCAGTTGTTCGAAGAAAGCCTCATCTACCTCATCCACCTGGTTCGGTGGCCTGTAGCAGACACCAACCACAACATCACTGCTGTTTGCTCCTTTAAACCTGACCCATAGACTTTCAACAAGTTTTTCTCCCTCTTTATACTGGAGTTCAGAGCAATCATAGTGCTCTCTTACATATAGTGCAACTCCTCCTCCTTTTCTCCCCTGCCTATTCTTCCTGAACAATCTATACCCTTCCATGACAGCGCTCCAGTCATGCGAGTCATCCCACCAAGTCTCTGTTATCCCAATTAAATCATATTTCTTGGCCTGGGCCAGGGCCTCCAGTTCTTCCTGCTTGTTGCCCAGGCTTCTCGCATTAGTGTACAAACACTTCAGGTAACCAGTTGATTGCACTATCTTCTCCATTCGAAACTGGGGTCCTCCTTTCTCGCTCCTTGCTCTATGCATTTCTTCCCGGTATCTGACTTTCCCACTCCCCTCAGGGTTTTGAGGAGCCAGCTTTTAAGATTTTAAAAGACTCATCCATGCACTGGGTACACAGTAACACTTCCATATGCCTAATTCTTACCCATTTGGACCACTGGATAGAAGCAATGTCTATACTGGAGGGTTTTTTTGGGGGGGAGGGAATTTCTCTTCCTGCTCCCTTAATAATTCTCTTCAACCTCAGTTCCACATCTCATATCTTAGCACCTGGCAGACAGAACACCCTTCTATTCTTTGGATCAGCTCTGGTTACAGGCTTATCTATTCTTCTCAATAAGGAGTCCCCAATCACATAGACCTGCCTTTTCCTAGTGACAGTGAAATTCTCTGGTCTATCTCTAGCTTCCTCTGTCTGCAAGTCCTTGCCATTCCTATTTTCCCTTGTAATCCTAATGCTCATTATTGGTGTTGTCTCCATTAAGTCTTCCCCTTTATCTATGGGACTAGCCACTCTTCTCTTCTTCCTTACCCTTCCATCTTCATTATCTACCTGCTGTACCCCTTCTTCATTTTCCAGCTCCACATACCTGTTCTTGAGCTCTATTTTTCCTTCACTGACCCATCTTTTCCTCTGCCTGGTTCTCTGAGTCACATGCTTCCACTGTCCATTTTCTTCACCCAGCAGTCCCCCCTCTGAGGCCCTTGATCCTTCTTCTATCTGCATATCTAAGCTTTCCCCTTCAGCCACGTCATGCCTTTGCCCCATCATCTGCTCAAACCCCCTTCTAAACTCAACCAGAGTTTCCACCTGCATCTCCAGTCCTCGATCTTTTCTTCCATCAGCTCTATCAGGCGGCACTTCATGCAAACAAAACTCCTTTCAGGTACCCCCTCCAGAATCATGTACATACCGCAGCTACCACATCCAGTCATCCTCCTTGTGTTCTCTACTACTTAGGCCATGGCCACTAATGCCTCTGTGTTTTATCTACTTTCTCACCAAAATCCTATTAGTCCGCTGAACACAAAAACAAACCAAAACACCCTCTCCACAGCAAAAACAAACTCCAAGCAAGTTCCAATATCCAAACTCCCACTCAAACTCCCCTGTTTACAGCTCTGTTTGCTTGGCTCCTGTGCCGCTGCAGCTATCTGCAAGACCTTGAGGTTGTTGTTGTTATTGGGAGACGATTCTGTTCTGAAGACTCTGCATCAAGTACAGATATTAATCAGGCCTTGTCTACACTGGTCTTTTGGCAACAAAACAGTGAGAGCTGTACAATGCAACTTTTGTTGGGGGAAACACCCAGTTTTGGTGACCAAAAAGCTTCCAGTCTTGCAAGAAACTTTTGTTTCCCCCTCTCCTTTTATTGTCAACAAAGAGACAGTTTGGACTCTGCTGTTCGTTTTGTTGAGAGAACGGGTTTCCACCAGTATCCCACAATGCCTGCCTCAATGGCTTTGCTCAGTGTTTTGTGATCTCTGCTGTCCTTCAGGCATGTGCCCCCTCCCATTTCAAAGCTTTGGAAAGTATCTGATGGTTGAGTTAGCTGTTCCTTTTAGGGAACAAACAAAGAACAAATAATTGGAATGCTCTTGTTCTGCCCTGCTACAAACATGGTGGCAGGCAGACTGTTGGTGTAAGGGGTAGGTCTGGAGAGACTGCTGTGCTGCTTTTACCTTCTTTACCTCAGAGCTCATAGAGCTACAAGAGAATCCCAAGAAGCAGAGGGCTCAACTCTTGTTCTCATAACCCTGTGCTATGGGTTGGTTTCCCACATTGTTTTTCTCTGTCAGCAAGGGAGCTAACAATATGGCCACGAAATGTTGACAGTGGGAGGCAGAAAGAACTATTTGACCAGTTTTCATTTTTGCATGTCAACACACTTTTGTCGCCAAACTTTCCCAGTGTAGACATAGCCTTGGTAGAAAAACACTGATATCAGAGAGGAGAATGAGGCTCCTATTGTAGCGTATGGGTGACTGTCTGAACTGATCTTTTCAGATTCATACCAAGTTTCTATAGAAATGACTTTACAGTTATGGAGAATGTGATTATTAAATAGCTGAGGTGGTCAAATTTTTCAACCAAGGTTTTGACATTTTTTCTCTCAAAATGTGCAGGAAAATATCATCACCATTTTCCTCTCCCTAGGAAGAGAGGGGCTGATTCAGCTTGGGAAATCTTGGAAATCACTAAGCATGGTAGATGTTCTCTCAGGCCAGGGGCTTTCCCCACTCTGAACTGTGTCATTTGTACAAGTCCTGCTGTCCATGACAGGCATATCACAGCATCAGCCGATACCCATTAGCTGATTCTGTGATACTAGAACTAGAGTCTAGTGGGTATCTTAATGCCTTCTCATCTGAAATTAGAAGGTGAACACATGCCCTTTTGTGAAGAGTGCTCCAAGAGAGTCAGGCCTTTCCCTGATTAAGGAGCAGTAGGTTGAGCTGTTGAGTGGAAGCTGCAGTAGGTTGTCAGGCTTTTAGGCTAATTTAGGGCTCATTGTTCATTCTGCTGTATTGATGTAAAACAGTCTGTTTTGGCAGTGGTAGGGAGTCAGACTGCTTGTATTTATTGGTGTGTGGCTGCAGGTATACAATATGTTCCCTTGACAGAGACCCATGGGACTTCTAATTGTATCAAAGCACTCCTAACTCTATCACTGACATTGGAAATATGCTCCAAGCTGACACATCTTCTGACTTAGTTCCAGCCCCGATGAAACGGCAGTTCTTCCTTTCAAATATCTTTCCTTTTTTGTTATGCACCCAAACCAGCAAGCACTTTTCACTCACATGGTCTTAATTGATATCAGTTAAATTAATAGAGATGTGTACAGTGCAATAGCACTGCCTCAAAATGGCAGATTGAGAGTACTTGTGATCCCATAGTATTGGGCAGATATAGATTTTCTGGGGGCTCTTTGCTCTGCTGGATTTCCTTTCCTTTTAAAACCAAACAAATGTGTTGTTGAAACAGCTTCAGAAGTCCGCAGCAACCTCTGTTTTATATCAGAGAGTGCACTAGAATAACAGTTAATCTGTGCTCTCACTGGCTGACTCTTAGGTGGAGTTCATAAGAACAAGGATTGCTTCAGAACTTTTTCCCTATTAGATTTTTGTTTGGAGAATTATCAAGCCAAAACAAATAGGAAATAAAGCAACTCTTCATCCGTGCCAGGAATTTATTTTACAGTTGTCTGGCTGTTTGGTGGTTCGCAGCTAACCATATGGGACATCAATGTTACACGGCACCCAATTTACTGTCCAACTTAGCGAAAATAGGTATTAGTATCGTTGTTGCAAAAGACTTTGAACTCTTGTTGTGCTATTCTGTATCCAGGAGAAATATTTCTTTTTTTCATTCTTTTGTTTTCTTTTATATTTCATGGCAGCATTCCTCATCTGATTTCTTTTATCCAAAGAGTCTGATTCTGCGCAGACCACGCTCCACAGAGGTTTGCTGTGGTGTTTTCATACTGTGGTTAATAGCCTACTCTATTGAGACTTCCTTATTTTGCATTAGTGTCTGCTGCTGCTGCTTATCTCTCACCGCTTTCTATGCCTTCTCTCACCCATTGAAGCACAAACTTTATCTTTTCCATTACAAAATGCATCTTGTTTGCTCTTTCATACTTCTGCTTAATTTGTTTGTTCAATGTTATGGTTCCATTTTTTTTTTTTTTAAGCACACAAAAATAGCCTGCTGCTCTTTATCACTTTGGTGTGATTATTCAATGGGTTACAGAAAGTGGTTGTTCTGAAATAGAAAGTTACAAATGAAATCACTACTTAACGAGCCGCTCATATGAAAACTATTGTGATTTTTATACATCCGGTTCGGAACAATGGAGACATTTTTCACAATGTTTTTGGTTTTTTTTCATGAAAAAATGTCATTCAAACATCGAATTCTAGATAAGTGTTGACTAGTTCCAACTGGGTATTTTAACAGAGCTAAACTGACTAATATCTGTTTTGTAAAGTTTCTGTTTTTTGAATGGGTTCTGGTCAAGGGAAGGCTGATGTGCTGCCCATTAGTTCTTGCCTCCCTGTAGGCAGTGACTTGACCTGTGGCTTATCCAGGTTGGAGTTATGGAGTTTATCCCTTCATGCTAGGCTGCTCTTCTTCCTCCAGACTTCTCTGAGTCCAGCAGGTGCAAAGGGGTTTGATACTTTCCTGCAGCATAGTTCTTCTAGGGCAGTATTTCTCTACCTTTTGTAGTACCTCTTTAAAATATATATAAGTACACCCAGTACCTGCAGTTTTCAGACACACACATTTTTTTCTACCATTGCAACACATTTGTTTAAACAAGTTAATCGTAGCCAGGCGAGTGATGACATTTTTGGGTATAAAACGTACAAAAATATAAAAACGCTGTAAAACTTAAAACAAAAATTCAGTTTTCTCCAAATTTCAGTTGTGTTGACGTATCCCCCCCCAGACTTCTCTCAAGTACCCCAAGGGTACTCGTACCACTGGTTGAGAAACACTGTTCGAGGACTAAACCCATTAAAGTTAATGGAAAGAGTCCCATTGTCTTTAGTAAGAGTGGACTCAAGCCCATATCCAGTTTCCTCTGTGATGCTCTGTTCCTGATTCCTTCTAAGAATTGCAGGCTTTAAACAATTCCTCAGTATGGTCTGTCCTGCCTGTCCATTAAGAGAGCAACCCGACAGTCTAGTCTGCTTGCTAAGATGTCTAGTCTGCATTGTAAAGATGTAGGTGATTTAGGGTCAAATGCTGCCCTCTCATTTTGCTGGCATCCACATAATCAAACTCAAAATCTAGCCTGATTTTACACACTGATTTCCCAGGGTGTGATTCAAGCAGAATGTGGTTCATTGCTTCCCTCCATGTGCCAGATACAAAAAAATTCTCTAATTCTTCCTCAAAAAGTCAAATTTCCATGACATAAAGATAAAATCTTTCTATCCACCATTGCCTTGTTTGGCTTCAGGAGTGGAGTGCAGACTTTGGCCATTAACAATCACACCAGTAGCTGTCTGTCTAAAAGGATCAGAGGGGTAGCCAAGTCAGTCTGTACAGGATATAAACTTTAAAAACAACAAATAGTTTGGTAGCACTTTATAGACTAGCACAACATGTATATGGTATCATGAGCTTCTCATCTGAAGAAGCTGGCTGTGCCCACAAAAGCTTGTGATACCATGTACGTGTTTTGTTAGTCTGCTAGCACTTTATAAAGATTATTTGTTGTTTTTAAAGTTTTTCTAAAAGGAGTCAAGCATTATAGTTCAGCATAAATTACACACATGGAGTCTTTAAATAGTCTTTAAAAACCACATTTACAGTCTCTTAAGAAAATTGTGTCTGTTAACAATCTGTAAGAAGATAAACTCTTGATGATAGAATCTAAGAACAGTGAATCCTGACGTTGGTGAAGTCAATGAGATTCTGGAAGCAAGGATTTCACCCTAATTTTCATGGTGCCAATTTAACACCGCTGTTGGAGGAAACCTTCATTTGCATGGTTTTGTGGCATAGTTGGTTTGGCTGTTACTAGTATGCAGTGACTTGTCTTGATAGCTTATTTGCGTCACTACACTTAGGATGGAATGAAGTTGCTCCTATCTGTGAACACATGCGTGTGTGCATGTTATTTTTTTAAAACTAAACCAAACTTGTGAATAAATCTGGTCTTTACTTTCCTGATGATCGTGCATTGTAGATTGTTAGAAGAGGAAATAATTAGTCTCTCCATATGAATGTTCCTGGAAAGAGAAACTAGAAGCCACAATTAATTGGCAAAATAACAGGCATGCATGAAGAATGCTTTAGGATTTGATTTCTTGGTGGGTCACATACACCACCATTTATAATAATTATGATGCAGTAGGAGCCTGATCCAAAGCCCATTGAAGTCAATATGATTTTTTTCCCCCAGTGACTTCACTAGGCTGTGGATCCATACCTTATGTAACTTATCTCCCCTGGAAAACTTTACAGTCAGAGACAAAGGATCAAAGTTATCTGTGTTGTTCTATGAGGACTATAAGTTATTTTTCTAACAAAATCCTATTTATCAAGTGGAAGTGATTTCAGAAAAAGCTAAATTATAAAGTGGTGTTTTATATAAATCTTTACCACACTTAAACTAGACTCTAGCTAAGGAGCTTCTGTTTTAACTGTATTAACAATGTTATTGTTAAGTGACTATATGTAGAATGAAAAATTATCCCTTCTTCTACAGCTGTTACCACCGCCTTGCATAATGAACTCAATCAAAAAACTAAGGCAGGTACTGTAAACAACACTGGCAGTGTCTTTTATAACATAGTAGTGCATCCAGTCAACCAGATGTTCATGGGATCGCTTCTGATCTGCTTGCTTGTCCCCATATCTTTCCATAGAGCATGACTCCGAACATCTGTAGCATAGAAAGGCACAGCCATCACATTACGGCATTTGGGTGATGTGGATGGCTCTAGTGTTTTCTTTTTAATTTTTTTCCTTTTAAATAATGTAACAGTTTAAATGATGTGCAGTGCATGATGACATAAAAATAGAGGTAAATCAAGGCGAGCCAGCCTGTTATATGAATAAATATTAATTAAAGAACAAATTGGGGCATATGTGTGTGAGAGATACCATAATCCAGAATTGAAATGCACAATGGCCTAACAGAATTGTCATAAAAATAGCAGGAAAGACTTTTTCCATTTAATACAAATGCATAAGAAGAGGAAAAAATAAATAAAAATATGAGATTGCTGAAGAGGAGGAAAGTACAAAGAAGCGATACAGATGCTTCCGTTAAGATTTGATTCCATCATTTAGCTTCAATGATGATACTCATGCATTTCTCTCCGTTCTTAAAATGCATTCTTAGATTTCCTGTATCCAACAAAGAGGTCACAAATGCTTGGAGTGGGGAGAAGTAGAGATGTAGATGGCTTTTATCCTCTTAAAGGGAGAGTAAAGAAAACACACTATGAAAATTGCAGGGAGAGGTGTTTAATGGAAGTACTAAATGGTTCATTGCTTAACACTGCTGTGATTGGGGAGGCTACTCCTAGGAGCATCCTAGTCAAACTCGGCAGGCACAAATGTGGTATTAGTAATATGCCAGGGTTGCTCAGAAAACAGGTCAATGTAGCTTAACCTGCACCCATCTGACCATCAATGGGTGTGCAGAACAAGAGTAACGTACATGCTGAGAAGTCAGACCAAGATTGTAGAAGGTTCACCAACTAACAGGAAGTGTGAAAAGAGTTAGTTCTCTTTTTCTTATGTTATATGCCCATTCTTCTTTGAGAGATGTTCCCCTGGGTGCTCCACATTAGGTCGGTGTACTGCTGCTGAGCCCAGTGACGGATTTTGACAACTGTACCCCTGGACCATGCATATGCTGGCCGAGAGCGCCACGTGCCACTAACTACCTATGCTGCACACAAATGGAGGAGGTTTGCGGTATGGTGCACTCAAAAGCACCTTTCACCATCCACAGCACCAATACCAACTATCCTCAACTACCTCCTCTACCTCAGACAGACTGGTCTAAGCCAGCTTCCATCAGGGTCTATCTTGCTGCTATCACCACCTTCCATGTCAGTATCAACGACACTTCAGTCTTCGTGCATCCACACTCACGCTGCTTTTTGAAGGGATTCCAAGCACTTTATCCAGACGTAGCCCCACCTATGCCACCATGGGACCGCCATCTGGTGCTTAACGCGCTTACAATGGCTCCCTTCAAACCCATGGCTTCATGCTCCTTGCTGCGCTTGTCCACGAAAACAGCATTCCTTGTGTCCATTACCTCAGCTAGAAGAGTGGGAGAAATCGCAGCCCTCATGGCCGGCCTTCTCTATACCATTTTCTTCAAGGGCAAGGTCACATTGCGCACCCATCTCAGATTCCTCCCAAAGACCATTCATTTACCTACCTTTTTTCTGAAGTCCCATGTGAATGACTTAGAAACCAAGATGCATACTCTTGATCTCCATAGAGCTCTATCTCTCTATTTACAATGCACCAAGCCCTTCTGATCCTCTCCTAGACTCTTTGTCTCCAAAGCGAACCGCAATAAGGGCAGTACGCTATCTTCAGAGACTGTCGCATTGGATCGCAGCCTGTATCGAGCTCAGCTATGAGCAAGCACAAGTGGCTCCTCCAGACAGAATAACAACCCATTCCACCAGGGCAATTTCCACTTCTATTGCCTGCCTCAGGAAAGTCCCACTAGCAGACGTGCTCGGCTGCTACGTGGTCCTTGGACCACATTTGCTAAATACTCTTAAAGGGCCCTCTGTCGAACCTCAGATTCTCAAAATCTGTCTTATCCACTGCCTTCCTTCCTGATTACAAAGCCTGCCTTCCTGACATTGCTTTGTAGTCACCTCATGTGGAGTACCCATGTGGACATCTCTCAGAGAGGAAAAGGAGGTTACCTACTTCTACAGTAACTGATGTTCTTCGAGATGTGTGTCCCCATGGTGCTTCATTACTCTCCCTTTCTCCCCTCTACTTTGGGGTTATGCTTGTCTGGCAGTGGACTCTGGGGTAGAGAGAGAACTGGGGGGGGGGACTTGCGCATGTGAAGTGTAGGCAGTTAGTGAGCGCGTGGTGTTCTCGGCCAGTGTTTGCCTGGGCCAGGCGTACAGCTGTCAAAATCTCCATCACTGGGCTCGGCGGCAGTGCACCGACCTAATGTGGAGCACCCATGGGGATGCTCATCTCGAAGAACGTCAGTTACCGTAGGGGTAGGTAACCTCCTTCTTCCGGCATGCAAGAAGTTCTCGTATTGCTCACCCAAAGGCCGTGAGTGAGAGTTGCTGTTTTACTAATTTTGTGTGTTCTAAACCATTCTCATCCAGCTTACATCTCAGTTGATATCAGTACAGAATTTGGCCCAAATTGTTTTGACATTTAGAGATATGTAAAGTCACAAAAGTGGGTGTAGGCCAGGGAGGACGGTTAGTTATTTAGATAATATCTCTGAGATTGTCTACACAGGGATACCTGAGAAATTAAAGTGTTTTAACTCACTTAAGTAAATTAAACTAAGCTAAATTAAGGCTACTTTCCTAACAGCATTCCTCTGCAAAAGAGCATCTGTACCACTGTTAAATATGGTTTAACTAATCTACTTTGAACGTTAATTTGGATTCAATTTCAAGAGTGTCCCTGCATAGACAAGCCCTGAGATGTAAGTTGTGTAAAAGTGGATCCAAAAACTCTTGAAATTTGTAAAGCAGAGTCGACAAGCCTGAGGATATGTATGCATAGTATGATACATTAAAGAGCACACCTGAAGAAGGGTGGCAATATTATTCATAGATGGATAGTCAGAAGCTACCTCTTAGGAAATGAGTAGCCAAGTAACTACAGTTTGGAAAAAAACAGGGACTGTAGCATTGCCATTATCTTTAGCATAGGTCTGATAAGAAAGCAGCATGCATGTATTTGACTGTGGAGCAGCTGTAAAAGTAGCGAAGCCTTAAAAGTCCAGAGGGTGTGGGAAATGTGTAGTCACATAGGAAATGTTTAGGAAACAGTTGGAGTCTGGAGACACTGCAGTTGAAATTCATCCTGCGTAACTCTAAACAGGAAAAAAAAAGGGCAAGAAAGGCCAGTGTGGCTAAGTAAGGATGTATGGGGTATGAAAAACAATGGGAAAAGATTTGCCTCTTAAGAAGAGAGTTATAAAATTAAGCAAGACATTGGATGGGAACAACTGAAGAAAACCCTTTCAATGCTGATTGTTGGGTTTCTATAAATACTTTAAGTTCATCAGAGCAGGGGTTGCCTTTGTGTTGTATATTTGGACAGCACCTCGTACAATAGGGTCCTTGTTTGTGAATGAGATCCCAAGGTGCTAGCACAATACAAATAATAATAATTACTAATGAGAGAGATCTTCGCAGAGCTTTGCAGTAGATTGAGCATTAAACTTGTGCAGTTGGAGACTGGGAACAGAAGCATGGGTGTAAGGGTATGGCAGATCTGGCAAACAGCCATTTTTCTAACAGCCAAATTGATGGGAAGCTAATAAGCATGCAAAATCAGATGGGATGCGAGACCAGAAAAAGGGAGTGTATGTATTTGCAGGACTGGGGCCTAAACTTGGAAAGCAGACTGCACTAACTAAACTTAGGGACTGCAGTCCCAACCTAAAACAATGCAATTTACGCAAATGAAGTCAACTTTTAGATTCAGAGGGGTAGCCATGTTAGTCTGGATCTGCACAAGCGACAAAGAGTCCTGTAGCACCTTATAGAATGCATCTGACAAAGTGGGTCTTTGCCCACAAAAGCTTATGCTCCAATACATCTGTTAGTCTATAAGGTGCTACAGGACTTTTTGTCGCTATTGTTAGATTCATTTACTGCTGTGTCAGTAGGAGAGCATCTCCTGTTGACTTCCCTTACACTTCCCAAAGACGTGGAGTGTACAAAATGATGGGAGAGTGCTCTCCCATCGATTTTAGTATATCTTCAGCAGACCCGCTTAATCGACACTCACTTCTTCGATTGCAGTGGTGCCGATCGACTCCCAAGTATAGACATATCTTCAGTGTTTTAAAAAAACACAGTCAAACAAGTTGCTAAATAGGAGAGGAGATCTCAGAACATATTTTTAGGGGCCAAGGAGGGAGGTGAGTCTGAGAAATACTGCAAGAAAATAACACTTGGGCCAAGTGATTGTTTCTTGGCAACTTCTGAGCCCCTAAAGTAACTATAAAACGCCCTTTTCCCAAGATGTACAAACATCTCTGTCTGTTGCCTTCCAAAGAGTGTATGGGGATTGAGGATGGCACAGAGAAGACTGTAGTTCCTCTGAAATCTCACAATGTGTTTGTATTTATTAGAAAAAATAGACAAATCTTTGGCTAAAAGCAGGTGGTGAGTAATGAGGGAAGATGCCCTGAATCGCACCTCAGCTATTTAATCTTGTTCCTTATGCTTTGTAATAAAAACAATCACCATGGTAACTGAAACAACTTGCTACATATGACCATATGACTCTACTCAAAGCAGCCATATGAAATGTCAGAGTTAAAGGGAATGAACATTTCTCATTAACAGCCTGACTTTTTTTCCCCCAGTTAATTCTTGATGGGTTTTTGTTTGTTTGTTTTTGCTAATTTACATTATTTTCCTCATGGTTGTGTTATGGGAGGAGCAGAAGGAAGCGAGTATCGTAGACATTTCAGTGCTCTCTTTCTGCACTATGGGATTTTGTAGCTACTGAGAGGGTCCAACATCCAGTTAAGAAAAAATAGAGAGGTATCCCACAGTGTCCTCATCTGTTCTCCATTGTAGTCTCCTGCATTTGAGCTAAATCTTTAATTTTCTTGGTACCTTTTCCAAGTCCTTGAATTCCCCTAGTGCCCCAAATGTATGTTTCTTTGATGGGATTTCTAAAACACATGTCAAATCAGGTGGGAAAGAATTCCGCCTGCTTTTAATGATGCCCCATTAGCTTGCTCATAGTAACGTAAAAGCTAAAAGGACCCTGGGAGCATGGCTGCTACTCTGCTGAAGACTTTTCAGGAAATATCTGCTGAGAGCTAAGAGAGCCCCAGTGGCCTAGTTGTGTTTTTGGCAGAGATTCCTAAATAAGATCTGTGAGTCAGACTGTCCCATGTTGTTTTTCTCTCCAGTGGACAGTCATTGTTTCTTTAGATATGTGTCGCAGGCCAACAAGTGACAGGAGCAAGTTTGCCAACAGTTTCATTTTTCAGGGGCCCTGGAGTACAATACCCCACTACGCTCAACCAGAGTCACCCACTGGGCAACACAGTTTAAGTAGCTCCATTACTTTACCTCTGGTTTGAGAATATTATTTTTGTAGACTTCTGAATTTCTCCAGAAGAGGTAAATGTGGGCTTTGAATCTTCAGAGAGAAATCTTGGGCCTGACTGAGAACACACTAAAATTAGGGGGAGTATTGTCTTTATTTTCAGAGAGCTTTGGATCAGGCTCTTTGTACGTTAATTTCTAGATCAGGACAATTTACACTAACACTTTTATCAATGTGCGTACTACTTGGTAGATTTAGGGGGAGTTATCATACATTGCAAAGCATTGTTAGTTTTCTTCAAAAAAGAGATGAGAGATTTTTGATTAAGTGGGTTTCTGTTTCATGGAAATTTGAACTCGCGGATGAATTTATTTATCCACAGTGCCCTATGTGGAAGTAATATATTGGATATTGATGATGTGCCAAAAGCTTCCATTGAGTTTATAATTGCACTCACTTTGTACTGCAGTAGATTCCAGTTGCAAGGCAGTGGCACTAAATGTCAGAGTCATTGTAGAGTAGAATTTCAGCCTGAATTTTACCTGCAACTGTTGCACCTAAACTGTGTTATGTGGATTGTGAACTATTCCAGAGGAGAGAGTTTTCTGTCCCCTTACAGACAGGTGTTGGGCCCAGTTCTGCATTCATTCACGTTAATGTAGTTCCAGGGACTGAGGCCCTGATACAGTGAGTGGTAGCAAATGGGTAAGCTGCTGTGCGGGATTGGAATCTTGCTCCTTCTCCCCCACCCCCACCCCCGCCCCCCC